CTGTTTCTAGGGCCGTGCCTCTTTCTCGACCGCGGAGGCCCTCATTGTGTTCCTTGGCTCTCCGAGCTTTCTCGGGGGCCTGATATTCCTTGGCCATCTTCAACGCTATTTCTTACTGGCGGTTCACTTCTCGACGCGATGCCAGTGCATCTGACTGTCGACCGAGTCCTCCTTTGAGCGACGAGGACATAGCTTTGAGTATGGACTGAGCGTCCCACCCATGGACGAGGAAAAAGGGTGTCTTTTTCCTCGTTGTGTCCATTGAGTTGTTGATCGCGAAGATCAGCTTCTCAACGATTTCGTCCCATTCTTGTTGCAGTGGGTCATCTGCGTATACACGCACCGATTGCATGACAGTTTTGACCGAGCGTTCCTGCTGACCATTTGCCTGGGGCCCGTAACTCAATGTTGCCCTAGACCTTGATTGCATCATTTAGGTGAACGACTGGTACACCTCACTCATGAATCGAGGGTCTCTGTCATGTCTGATGAGGGGGGGCGCACCGAATCTTTGGTACATACACTCCTCAAAGGCTTGGGCTACTCTCAGAGCAGTCGTGTCTGCCATAGCTTTGCCCATTACATACCCCGTGAATGCGCATTGGAATAGTAAGAGCGCTGTATTACCCCGCCGAGACGGTAGGGGTATCACAAAATCCATCGAAACGACCTGAAACGGTCGTTCCGCTAGTATGTTCCCCGGAGAGTATCCACGGATCCTCGGTCGGCTTTTGCTTGAGCTACAGTCGGGACAGGACCGCACGTGCCTTGCCACGTCCGCGTATAGACCGACCCAGTAATAATCCAACTTCACTCTGTAGAAAGTCCGAGCGATCCCTTGATGGCCTCCTTCTAACGAGTCGTGACAGTTCTGCAGTACTTCCTGAATCATCGTTGAGGGTGCCACTAGACGCAGCATCGTGTCTTCTTGCTGTTGGTCACGCCTCAGAGGCCTTGTTCCCACGTAGTAGAGGACATCGTCCTTACTTAGGACGAAGTGATCGGACATTTTCAATGCGTCTTTCGCTGCCCGGTATAGGGTTGATTCTTCCCCGCGGAGAACTATCTTCAAGTTCGCCCACCGTAACTCCTCGTCCTGAGCAGTCGCAATCCTTCTTCGACGTTCTCTTTGGACCGTTAGGGGGTCCACGTCCTCCGCGTCAGGTGACGCGGGAGTCGTACCATTGGGTGCCGTTACTCTTGATAAATCTGCTTCTAGACGGACCGAGCTCTCTGTCGGCACACCGTTGAGTTCCTCTCGCTGCGTCGCGTCTTCTTCACCTGTCACCGAAGTTTCATCGGCGAATCTGACGCGTTTAGGCTTCGTCTTAGCTTGGAGTCTGGTCGTTACCATTAGGTCTCCTAT